TATAGAAACGGCACATGGAAGCTACATTACGGAGGTGGGAAAGAGACTGAAACCGAGATGCCAGGTCAGGACCAATAAGATTGCAGATTCTTCTTTAGATTTTATAAAGAATCTTTAAACATATACCAGAAACACCAGACCAGATATGCTTGCAATATACAAAGCATGGAGAAATGGTAGACTTATAAATATGTAGAATAGATTCTGTCAAGAAAATTCATCTAGCACGACACAGTGAACCAACTTTTCTAGCAGCAGATATAGCAAATGATTCAATATAATCTGTTCATTTCATGTCGGCAGGAAAAGTTAGTCGAAGAAGGCACAATGAGTCACTCTCCATGAAGGTTAGCATCAGTCATGCTGATAAAAAGCAAAAAGAGTTCTCTGACAATTAAAAGAGAACAGTTTCGTTTTGGAGATGTTAAAATTAACAAGTCATTCCTTGCCCCAGTTAACAATAGACTATAGGTCATTTTTAGATCACTTTCCATTTTGACTTTCTCGAACTGATCAGACTTACTATTAAGACAAGAGTAAATAGTTGTGTTATTAGCGTTCATATCGAATTGAGAACTGATGACATCAGGAAGGTTGATGATGAAAACAATGTAGGTCTAAGGATAGAACCCTGGGGGATACCTGCATTAATGGGAAAAGATCTAGAAGAGCTGCCTTTTAAGACAACTTTCATTTCGCGATTTGATAAGAAAAATTAAGTCAGTTCAAAAATTCGTCCAGAAATACCATAATATTTCAACTTGTGAAAAAGACCAGTATACCAAACCCTGTTAAATGCCTTCGATATATAGAACGCAACAACTCGAGCTTCAGCATTCTTATCTAAAGATAGATTCTTTCAGCAATAATCGTAAATACATCAGCAGTTGACCTAAAGAAGCGAACGCCTTATTGCTTACTCGAAAGAAGATCCTGCGAGGTGAGATGCTTACTCAATTCAGAGTTGATTAGAGCCTCTAGTACTTTGCCAAAAAGAGACAGAAGGCTAATAGGCCGACAGAAAAATCAAAATGTTCAAGTAAGTTCGTAAAGACTGGAACAACAAAGAGAATTCCCCAAAAGCAGGAAATCAAGGAGTAGCCAGGCATTTATTTTAATGTTTAGAGAGAACAGGAGCCAGCCCAGGAGCACGTTTCTTAAGGACTATTGCAGGGATACCATCAATCCACTTGTTTTGAAGGGAATCCAATTTAGAGATGGATTTTTTAAGAGAAAAATTTTATAAATTTCTACCGATAGTAGTATTCGCTGCTCCGCTAAGGAATACCGAATGTTTTCTTCTGAGGAAACAATTAATATTTCCAGTACAATTTACCATTACAATTTAAGTTTGAATAATGAAAAATGTAGATGCATTCTAGCTCCCTCCACCTCCCCGTAGAAGAAGAATTATTAGCAGATAGAGGAAAATATCGAGGTAAATCCCGAAATATCTTGGGAAATGGTAACGAGAGCAAAATCATAAAAAAGGGGAAAAGATACAATCTTTACTTTTAGAAAAATCTTATAATACCGCAAAATATGTGTAATCCTAAGAAACAGAGTAAAAGAAGTGAACATATTGTAGCGACGGGGTTACTAATATGTCACCATTATGTAAGGATGTGTACTACATACATTTAACTTTGGCTAGGAAAGGTAGGATTAAGGACAATGCGTGGACGCAATGCAATTTATATTTGACGTAAATAGCGCATAGTATAAAATACAAAACAGAATGTAATAACAATTGACATATTGAATTTATTAGTGTTTAGTGTACAAGCATATAAGCTGAAGGTGTGATAGAGTTATGTCTCTTAGATTTGGAAATATTTGTACTTGAGCTCATAAAGAAGAAGTAATTATTAAACTGTAGTTTAGAAGAATAAAGTTCCTTTAGCATGTTAGGAAATGTGAGTTGTAAACCTTGGTAAGAGTTCAGAAGAGATTTAGAGTTCGTACTTGCGTGAATGTTGGTAATGTTCTTTAACGTCTGATTGCATGGTCAAGACGGGAGTTCTTAAAGATTACATCTTGGCAGCAAGGAGAAAGATGAATGAAAAGAAAACACCAGGGAGCTTACACGTGTTTTGTTTATATATGGCTGTGTATCACGTGGGAGGCTCAGATCGAAAACGCGGGAAAACAGATTTGTCGCGTGCAGGCGGAACTGACCAATCAGCGAGCTAGTTTTGAGGAGATCAACCAATGAATGCTTGTCGCATGATTTCTATGTATGATGGTGATGATAATTACCACAATATCGCTTACTGTAAACACTAAACCAAATAGATATTCAAAAGGGATGACGATTGTAAACGCTGCTACGCTTCAAGCATTTGTTGTTTTTATTTATTTTTCCTTTCATTTTTCTATGGATAGGATGCGTTCCAGTCAGCATTAAATGACCCATAAAGACTTGATATGCCGTTAAACAAACAAATCAGTCGATCATGAGGTATACCATTAGTGTTCATTAAGCCATTAATAGATTCTTATGACTTCATACTTTGAGTAGCATCATACGGTATTGAATATGGAGATATTACTTTTTAATATATAATAATAATAATAATAATAATAATAATAATAATTGGTATAAACACCATCCAGACCCGGTTGCAGAAATAGGAGCTGTAACAATATTATGGGACTTTACAATACACACAGACAGAACAATCAGATTTAATCGCCCTGACATCGTGATTAGAGACTGCAAAGATAAAATGTGCCTCCTTATTGACATGGAGGTCTCTGCAGACTGCAGTGTATCTTTGAAGATCTTAAAAAAAAAAAAAAAAAAAACTAGCAAAATAGTCAAAATCTCAAAAATGTGGCATCAATAATTCCAACTGTAGTTGGAGCCCTCGAGTTTATTTGCAAAGGTTCCGATAGATCATAAAGGGATTCCTGGTCGCCTATACCTTAAAGAAATACAAAAAAATATACTCATAAGTACAGCTTACACATTATGAAGAGCTTTCTCTATGTAAAATGTGTGTGATCATTTTTTTGTATAAAAATGATTCGTGGAAGAAGAGCATGAAGCCATTTTTGATTTTAAGTCTGTGGTTGGGACATAAATCAAAGGAAATAATAATAATAATAATAATAATAATAATAATGACAAAAACTGTTCAATAAATAACTAGGGATATAATATGCATTAAGAAACGTTCAAGTGACTTATCTGGTTGGCCGACTCTAGAGTTTCGCATCGAAACGCTCATTATCAAAATAATCATACCATTTGTATTAATATAAATATCTGTTAATAAAATTCACAGGATTTATATTAAAATATATATTGAATCTATAATTAATCAAGTAATTTAAAAACAAACAAATATTCGATAAACAAATACACTGATTAACGTTTCAACGAGAAATTATTGAGTTAGATAATTGATATATTATTTAGCATGTACACACACACACACACACACACACGCAAGCGCGCGCACACACACACACACACACACACATATATATATAAATATATATATATATATTAAAAAGAGAAAAAAATAAAAAAACAAATGAAAACTACAGACAAAAGTTCATTTTCTTCATCAAGACATTCATTTCTGTAGTTTACTGCTACCAGCAAGCAGAAATATTTCTTCTCCCAATGATGGCCATTTTGGACGAAAGTAGTCGAGGAATCTAAATGAAATAATAATAATAAAAACGAAAGAATATTAATCTACAACCCAGTGTGTCTGAAGATTTTAATTTTTTAATATTTTTTTTATTGTTCAAAATATATATATATTCTAACTACATACATATTCAGTTTTATTTATCTTGTTGCTTTTGCCATTATGTCGTTATATATATATATATATATATATATATATATATATATATATATATATATATATATATATATATATATATATATATATATATATATATATATATATATAAAAGGAATTGAGTCACTGTCAGTCACTGGGCATGTTTCTAAAAATAAATATGCTAAAAATCCTACTGTGCGCCGACTGACACCAATTCAGTCGGGTTTCGATCCTAGCTAGAGGCAACCGGAAGTCTAGCCACACTGATGAGCTGTAAACAGCGAAACAGTCTGTCTTTCAGTCTGTCTTTGGATGACGTTATATATATATATATATTGTATGTATTTATAATGTATGTGTGTGTGTGTCTGTCTGCGTATGTGTGCAGAGAAGAAGAAAGAGAGGGCAAGAGAAATAAGAGAAATGGGTGGAAACTAGTCACCATGCAGTGTTGCGTCGTATGTCCACATCATTTATATTTAGAAAAGTTCTGACTTAGTTATGGAACATTCTTTCACGATAACTATATACAGCAAATTTTAAACAGCAAACACACAGACACAAACTGACAAATATATACATATGCGCGTGTATATATATATATATATATATATATATATATATTTCAGTGCAGATTCTCATATAAAATACATTATATTTGGTTTGCAAGACTTTCCCGGAAATATTCTCCGGACATTGGTGGCTGAAAGTTTGTCCAGTCATCACCGGAACATAAAGCAAATAGGAAGGGAAAAGTTAAATGAAACTGAAAGGGAAAACGAGTAGAAAGTTTAGACGATATTTGTGGGAATAAAGAGGAAGAATTTTAAAATCGAAGAAAAAAGATACAATGCGAGATGAATGATGGAAAAATCGTTCAAATGAAGAAAGTAATAGTAATAAATAGAGCCAGAACGAGATCGAGGGAGAAGTGGGAGAGTGAGATAGATGCAAAGAGAGAGAGTGAGTCAGATAGTGAAGGATAAAGGCAATGGAAGAGGAAGGAAAATTTAAGCAACGCAGAAACAGATTATAGCCTGAAAATATGTAAGAAAGAAAGAAATATGGAAAGAAGAAAAGAAAGAATGAAATTAAGAAAGAAGGAAAGAAGGAAAAAATAAGGAAAGAAGAGAAAAAGAAAAGGAAATGAACCGAAACGAATTGAGCTGGAAAAACTCTTTTACTCATAAAACTAACATCCTTCCGCAGCAAAGGACATAAAAAGAAAGAAAGAAAGAGAGAAAGAAAACGAACCGGAACGAAACGAAGTTGACTGGAAAGAAACACGCTCGCTTTTATAGAACCTGTCAATCAGCAAAATAAAAACACAAAAAGAAATGTTCGATAAAGAGAGAGGAGAAAGAAAAGGGAGATAATTCAGAGAAGCATGAAAATGTTGAAATAAGAGAAATCGTACGGGGAGGTATGAATGAACTCAAAAGTAAAAGAAAGAAAGAAAGAAAGAAAGAAAGAACATTTTCCCAAACTCTCCAACTCTCATCTGACTGAATTAACCATCAGGTAATCGTGTACGTTTCCATCGATTTTATTTCAAGCTCAACCATCGCAAAAGCCGCTGCTTGTTTCAACCATTCTCTCAATCACTTCGCGATTCTGCTTTCCATCTGAATCTATAGACAGTTTGAAAGATTGCTTCTCTTCGCAAGGAAGCAACGATTATTCCGCAGTTGTTTTAGCTTAAAATTTTTCCCTGTAAGGTCAATAATACTTGCGGTCATACTACGGTGGCAGAGAAGGGGTCTGAAAAAAAACAATTTATATTACAACCGTCTAAATATCTTTCTTTCTTTATTTTGTTTCATTATTCTGGACTCATTTTTCCCGGTGGTCGATTCTCCAAATGTTTCATTTGAATCTATTATCGGACTGGTTTCGTTTTTAATCTCCAACTCAAGATAGATATCTACCCTCAGCCATGAAGCAAGCTAAAACATGCATAGATAGGAAGATTTTTACTGAAACTTAGTCTGGAACAATGTTAAATTGTTAGTGAACGCGGTATAAAAAAAGATTGCATTGAAGTAATCTTCCAAGTAAAGATAGCATCCAGGATCGAGATTTGTCTCGAACTCAGAAATCGACCATTGTCTCTGTTGAAAGAAACCCAACTATGTCAGCCACCGAGCAAACATTCTTCGTTCTCTTCATAAACAGATTATAGCATAGACATTTGCCATTATCCTTTGTGAGCCAGAATACAAAGGACAAATTTGAAACAGATGGAGAGTATTTTAAGCTAAATATTAAATCCCACAAAACTTTGATAACGCGTAATGTATATATATATATATATATATATATATATATATATATATATAAGTGTGTGTGTGTGTGTCTGTGTCTTTGTGTGATAAAATATAGGTTCAAGCTATGCAGTGTATATGCGTTAAAGGGTTCAATATCAAAGATAGAGCATATGCAAATATAAAAGTGTATATGCAAATATAAAAGTGTATATTGAAGTCAACAACGGGAGGCGACAGTGTATTTCATGATAAACGCAATCGTCAGGCCATCCTGTAAACCTGTCTACTGCGTTTAGCACGAAATAGATTGTGGCCTCTAGGTGTTGAATTTCACTTAGGTTCCCCGGCTAGTTTCGGCAAGAATGGAGAAAAAAAATCTGCTTGATAGCAGCAGAGAACTACAGGAATGACTGTTTATGAAGAAAATGAACTTTATCTGTAGCTTTTCATTTGTTTTTTATCGTTAATTTTGGTCGGCCCTTGTGTTGGTCAAACGGCCTCTTTCAAGTTGTTTTTAAGATAGAGGCTAGGGATGTTCAAGAGTTGCAGAATTACCATCATGGTCATTTTGAAATATATATATATATTTATATATATATATATATATATTTCTGTATGTGTGTGTGTGTGTGTGTGTGTGTGTGTGTTTAAAATTTGCTGTTTAAAATTTGCTGTACATAGTTATCGTGAAAGAATCTTCCATAACTAAGTCAGAACTTTTCTAAATATAAACGATGTGGACATACGACGCAACACTGCATCATGACTAGTTTCCACCCATTTCTCTTGCCCTCTCTTTCTTCTTCTCTGTACACACACACACACACACACACACACACACACACACACACACATATATATATATATACATTATAAATACATTATATATATCTATATATATGTATATTATACATCAGAACTATATAAATAACAAAGAGGAAAAAACTATGTGAAGCTAGAAGTAAATTAACTTTCATGTTCTTATAACATTGCACCTTTCTTGACAGATATTCTATTAACAAAATGGAGAATACTTAACAACAGAAACGATAAAATAAAGACGGAAAGCATAGATAAAGTGGAATTGGTTAGCCTACATACCCAGAAAAAATTACAAAACTGTTTCCAACATTTTCAGCGTCTTCTGCATTCTATATCACTCCTTCTTACATATATGGGGGGATTCCATTAGCAAAAACATAGCTTTAGTCCGATAATGCCCTGAAGAACGAAAAACGCATCACACAGAATTTTTTTCCATTTTGCCAATGATTTAATTTATATAATTTACTGTATATATTTATTCCTATATATATATATATATATATATATATATATATATATATATATATATATATATATACACCTCACTTTCTCCATTAGCGGAGCAGGTTTTGTTCTGATTAGATGAACATCTCGGTGTTCATGAAATAAAAATTATAAACGAAATGGATAATTAAAGTCTCCGTCTTGTTATCATTGTAATGCTCTGTATTCCACATTAAGCTCTTCCTGGATTTATATCCTACTCGGAATTATCCCTTCCAGTCACATATATATATATATATATATATATATATATATATATATATATATAGGGCATAGATAAACTAACATTCAGTGACGTGAACATACATTCACTTACGTGCTAATACCCTTGGGAAAGGTGTGAATCCTCTTCTTCTCCCTCCAGCTATGGGTAAATAGCAGAACAGATTGGGTTCTATAGCCGTGGATGGCAACTGGTCTAGGAGAAGGACAACTCTGAATTCAAAACCTGCGGAGGGTCGTTTGGGGGCCTTGTGGCACGTAGTGCACCAGGTCTCTGTATTCAGCCCTTCAAAAGGTGTGGATGGTCCTGCACGAAACCTTCACCACTATAATCAAATCTCATGTGCTGTTGTCGGGCTGTCGGTTTCCTGGGAACTGATCTGCTTGACCCTCATACGCCGAATTCGACGGGAGAGTCCAGTATATATAGAGTGCTGCAAAATGATGTAACACATTTGTAGGTTTAATAAAAGTGAAATGGAGTAAAGAACAAAAAGTATGTTTTTACTTTCTTCTTGTCCGTATCCCATCAGAACGTGGACGATCATGGCTCTCCACAACTTCCTATCCTTTATTGCTTTTAATAAATTTTGTCTTTCTCTTATTTCTCCTAAACCCTGTTCCATCATCCATTTACTCAAGCTCACTAAGTATGTTAGGCGTTGTCTTCCTCTGTCCCTCTTGCCCGCTACCTGTTCCATGAGTATCAGATTTTCCGAGCCCTCTTTTCTCAATATGTGCCCCAGAAACGTCAACTGTGTCTTTCTTATATTAAGTTTCCTTTTTGTTTCCGTTTTCTCTAAAACTTCGTATTTGGTCACATATTTGGTCCGTAGTATGCTCAGTATCCTTCTGTAGAACCACATCTTGAATATCAAGATTTAAACATTGCCTGCAGTTGCAAGCAGTGATTTCTTAACAAGCTTGTAAATGAATGGCAGAACATGGACAAAAACGAATGGGAAACGATCAAAAATTATTTAAGCAGCAAAAGACAGGAAGTTGTGAAGAGACATGATCGCCTACATCCTGAAAGGGTTTAAGATTATTGTCTGATCATCTTTAGGGACAAAATGTAGGTGTTATTTGCCAAAAGATGAAAAGATGCACTCAAACTGATGTCGTCATTGACGTTTCTGTTAGAGAACGTTACGGTTTATGAATTTAACACACACACACACACATATACACATACACACATACACATATGTACACACATGCACATATTAAAACACATCTACACATATGCACACACAGATACACATAAGGATACACACACATACATATATTCACGGCCACACACATACACATGCACCACACACACACACATATGCACACACACATACACATATGCAGACTCACGCACATCCACATATGCACACACACATACACATACGCACACACACATATGCATATATTTAAAGTAATAAAAATATATTAATAAATATACATTAATTTTTTAGAGACTATTTTGTATAGGTTTTCGGATATTAAAAAGATATGTTTTCGAAGAAATCTGAACGAGCAAAGTGTGCTTTAAAAGATAGAAGTTTGCTTGATTATGAATCTCTTCGTAGTCAAAAAAAAAACAAGTCGGATCAGACGACGGTTACTCCTGCAAAGGAGGACGGTGGTCCGAATTCTGTCGGCAGGTGCATTTTCTTAATAAGATTTCTCGAACGTTCAGGCCGGTAGACGAAATAAAAATACTGTTTAAAATAAACGGAGCGTTTACGCAAATATTGGTATCCATTAAAAATAACGTGAATATATATATATATATATATATATACACACACACACACACACACACACACACACACACACATATATATATATATATATATATATATATATATATATATATAACTACAAAAGAATAGATTTGATAAGTTTCACGCTAAGTAATTTTAGCAATTATAAAGCTGTGCTTTTTGACTGTTGTTATTTTACACTTCGCCGACCATTACGTTCCATTCGTCAATCGCACCGTAGAAGGATTTTTTTATCGTGTTTGTTCTTCTAGGTGACGTGTCAGTTCATGACTATGGCAATCACGGCTCTACACAATTTTATATCCCTTGTAGTTCTTAATACATTTTGTCTTCTTGCCACACCCTGCTCCGCCATCCATTCACTCAAGCTCGCAAGGTAGGTTGACCATTCCTTTCCTCTATCACCCTTACCTTCAATCTGAGTATCAAAATGTCCAACCCCTCTTTCCTCACTATGTGTCTCAGAATCCTCAAATGTCTCTTCCTGATGTTAAGAATAATTGTTCTTTTGTTGTCATTGTCTTTAAAAATTCGCCATTTCTCACATCCTTCAGTAGAACCGTATTTCTGTTGTTTGACGTAATTTCTTTATCCATGAGGAGACTTCAATGATATATCTGTCTATATTTCTGAGATGAGGTATTATGTGCACTATTTACATTATTCAGACTATTGTCCTCATCTTTGTCGCCATATCTATTACAACGACCTTCTTCAGGTGGTTGGAATGTTGGACTGAACTCTTTATTTCGCCCAAGGACACATGGCACAGTGGATAAAGGCGTTGGTTAGATCCAGTGACAGGACCCTAAGAGTGTGAGTTCAATACCCGGTTAAGGCAGTGGAGAACTTGGAGAGGGGAATTAACAGGAGATAACTGATAACTGACATCCATTAAAAACATGGCACGTGGAATTAGAACAGTCTAACCCAGTGAGCGAAATAAAGGGTTCAATTCGACAGTCCAACCACCTGAAGAAGGTCGGCGCGTACACCAGCCGAAACGTTGTAATAAATAAGGCGACAAAGATGAGGACAGTAGTCCGAATATTGTAAATAGTGTATTCAATGATGTATAGGATGACTGATATTATATAACAGATCAGTAGTTTTTTCAGTGTTTCTAAAAATATTTTACTAGACGCTAAAGATTTCGTCTTTTTGTTTAACTTTTTTATTTTCTTCCGGGAATCTAGTTAAATTCCATTTTCATACAAAGCACGTCATACACTTTTTCAAGAAAAATACGCTTTTTCCCAGAAAAATCCGGTGACTACCTATCAATTTACACCTTATCTCGGACGTACCTCCACTTCCCTATTTTTTTTGCTCCCACACAAGTTTCGATAGTAGTATGCTTTTCTCATAGTTTTCCCTGTTAAACAATATCCTGTGCTTTACAAATCTTTGTCGACCAGTGATGGGTCCACTGTCGACATTCACTGCTGCCTAATAGACAATGTTCCCCGTAAGA